CCACGGCAAACCAGCGCGCTCAATTGCGTCACACAGCTGCTGAAATATATCTTTGGCTGTGGTACGGCCGTGCATTGGACACAAACTCAGCAACTCTTCCGTCACTTCAAACTGGTCATTAATACCCCTGATGAAAATTGCTAGCTGAGCACTGTCGGTTATGTCTGTGCTTTCGTCAAGCGCCACAGAGTATGCAGTGAAAACTTTAGATTTGCTGCATAACTGATCATAAATGTCACTTGATAACTCGCTGATCCGCTCTGCCACTGTGTTTGCCAACAAAGAGAGATTGTTGAACAAGTTTTTCTTTTCTGGACATAGAATATCAGCGACTTTCTTCATGCAATTCTTTATAAACTGCCCTTCTGTGAATGGCTTTCCCGCTTTAGCGATCAACTCACTCACCACATAACTTGCTTCAACTGCAGCATCAGCATCCTTTTTGGCTTTATGGAAAAGGTTTTGCTGGGACGTTAGCTCTCTCTGCAACTGCGTGGCTCGTCTTTTTCTCTCGTCTTTCTGGTACTTCTCATACTGTTCTCCATGTTTAGTCGAGTAATGACGCTTGAGATTATATTCCTTTAGGACAGCGACTTTTTCTTTGCATATCAGACAGGTAGTGTTTCCATTAAAGCGACAACCGCTGGTGCTGCGACCTGGGCTACGTTATACTGCGAAGCCACAATCAATGGGAGCCATGAAGGCACACCACACTGAAACACATAACTCACATTAAACTGAACCCAATTTCCCTCAGCTTCCCATACATCATTAACTTACCTGAGAGCAAACAACGCACTGCACACAGTATATCTCAGCAGCCTAACACCACACTAAAGAAGTAAAGATCGCACAAATCACCAAATAACACTCCAACCAGACAGCTAAGCTAAGCGGCTACAAACAGCTACCTTGGCAGTCAAGTCAAGTCAAGTCACCTTTATTTATATAGCACTTTTAACAATACAGATTGTGTCAAAGCAACTGTACAGCATTAATTAGGAAAATAGTGTCAATAATGCAAAGTGACAATAGTAAACACTCATTTTTCAGTTAAAGGCAGTTCATCATTGAATTCAGTGATGTCATCATCCAGCTCAGTTCAGTTTAAATAGTATCTGTGCAAATCAAGTCAACGATATTGCTGGAAATGAAGTGTCCCCAACTAAGCAAGCCAGAGGCGACAGCGGCAAGGAACCAAAACTCCATCGGTGACAGAATGGAGAAAAAACCTTGGGAGAAACCAGGCTCAGTCGGGGGGGCCACTTCTCCTCTGGCCAGACGAAACCAGCAGTTCAATTCCAGGCTGCAGCAAAGTCACATTGTGCAGAGGACTCAACTGGCTCCTGTGGTCTTGTCCTGGTGGCCGTCTGAGACAAGGTCTTTACTGGGGATCTGTATCTGGGGCTCATCTAGTTGTCCTGGTCTCTGCTGACTTTCAGGGCTGCAGAGGTCCTCTCTAGGTGCTGATCGACCCTCTGATCTGGATACAGACTGGATCTGGTGGCTACGGTGACCTCGGAAAGTCCATAACAGAAAGAAAGGGGCGGGCTTTCGACCATGACGAACTCCAAGAGGCAGAACCAACCAACTTATATACCCTAACCAGGGCAGTAGCTCATTGGCCACATATTTAATGGTGACGTTTTAACAACATCACTACATAGAGGTAACAGAACTTACTAGAAGCTGCTTTGAAACAATGTGTATTGTGGATTGTAGCATTTGGACCAATCAGGCACACCATTTTTTATTAGATTTAACGAATCAATTATTCATTAGATTAACAAATAGTCACAGACCCCTCACCCAATAAACATACTGGGTGCCAGGGTGTCTGTGAACGATGGTTACCATGGCAACCAGGACCCCTCAGCCAGATCAGATAAACTTTTATGACTTAAAAGTATGTAGAGAGAATCGTCCTCCTACTCAGTTCTCTCTAGATCAGACACATAATGCCAATAAAAATGGACTCTTCTCTAATTAATTCATAGGAAAACCTTTCTTTGAATGAACACACATATACTTCAGGTCATTGGGTATGTTGTTACTGTTCTTGTGTGACCGGTGTAATCTGCGTTGTGTTTTTTTCTCAGAGTAGTAACCAGACGGACATCAGTTGACGGTTCGACTCTTCATTTACTGATAAAACATAAAACAGTCTTTACAGTGTGTTTTCGCCCTTCTTGTCTTTTCTCTCCCATGCAGAGACAGTGCAGAATCGGAAGAGAAAATGGTATAAAACTGGCATACAAAATTAAAGGAGTGACAAAACAGCATACCTGATAAAACATAAAACAGTCTTTACAGTGTGTTTTCACCCTTCTTGTCTTTTCTGTTAAATGAATGTAAAGTGCAACACAATTAGCACGTGCTTCAAGTGCATTGATCGACAGAAAACTGATCAAACTTAGTGAAAATACAGAAATAATCATATATACATAAAATAATGTCACAAATATGATTTAAACAGAGTATAAAAGTGCTTTTTTAAAGCAAAGATGAAATTAGATTAATCAGAGCTCATTAGAAACCCACCTCTCCCATGCAGCGACAAAAAGCAGAAAGGGAAGAGGAGGTGCAAAGACAGGAAATTAAGACTAACGCTGTTGTCAGAAATTTAAAGGGGAAGGTGCACACACAGACAGGCATATCAGATATACATCGAGAACATTTGTGTAATTCTACATAGGAAATTAACATTACTTTCACCCCTCTAGAATTACACAAAATTCTGAGAACATTGGAAAACTCTGTCATAACACTGGTCATAAGAATTACATGGTCCACACTCTAAACAACCAGTGAAGACAGTCAGCAATCAAAAGCTACCCAATGAAAGGATTAGAATGTGATGAAATTTGGCAGATTTCAAAACATTTTTTAGACCTCATCAAGGTGCCCATTACACCTTGTACACTTAGACCACATACTCAATTAAGGCAAGTTTCACTTGGGAAAAGCAAAAAACAAACAAAGGAAGTGTAACGAATCAGCTCATGAGGAAATAGGAATAATTAATCATAACTAGTTATAATTATATTTTAGATCTGGTGTAGATATTTAGCTGACCTCTCAGGGTCAACTGTCTTGTCAATTCTAAGAACGTTAATTTCCTGGTTAAGGGAAATAACTTCCTTACTGTACAATTCTACAAAAGCTTGTAGCATAAATCTGCATGATTAAGTGACTCCAGTTATGAGCAAACAATGAACCACATCAAGTGTGACACAAGTAAGGTTTTATTAACTACATAAACACTTAAACTAGTCTAACATACTACATAAACACATAAACTGGTCTAACATCCTACATAAACACATAAACTGGTCTAACACACACACACACACGCATACAGTTGGTATAGGAAAGGGTTAAAGCTTCACTCAGTACAGAGAAGAGACATAAGGAATTAAATTTATGGAGCCATTTGCATATTCAGCAGATCTACACCTGAGGGAAACGTCAGATTCTTAGTTCAAACACACCTTGGTAAAAAGGTGCAACTGATACCTAATGTCTCAATTAATAAGACTAAGTTTGATACTTGCAAGTCTCGTCTGTCTGAAAGAGATTCCTGATGCAATCTTAAGGCCCAAGATCTTGCTGAAGTTGGTTGATGAGAAAGAACTAGTTTGAGTCAGAGAATCTTGGTGAAATGGAAAGGTCAAGGCTGAAGCCTGGCACGAGCTTAGGGTTTCCGGGTGTGTTTTTCTCACATCCTCTCAGAAATAAAACAAACCACCGACTGGGTGCGTGGCGTGGGCCTTGGCCTTTAAAGTCGGGTAAGACTCATGCCTCTCAAGTTGGGCTTGTCCAATGAGAGAAACTGCCTTTTTCCAGCGGCGCTTGGTGTCTAGCAGCTGTTAGAGCCTCTGTGAAGACTGGTGATTTCCTTCTGTCGCACCATTCTTTGAGGTTCTTTGCATCCGTTCTGTGCTTTCTCTCGTTGAGCAGGTGTCAGTTCTCTGCAGAACTCTGTGACTTGCCGTTTCAGCTCATTTACCTCCTGTCTGAGGCCCTTGAGGGTGTGGGCCGAGGAGAGGATGATGCTGGTCAGGTGTTCACTTATGTCGCAGTCTCGCTGTTCCTTTCTTTGCCATTGCAGGTTGTTGGCTGCTTGGAGCTGAAGGAGGTACATTACAGTGCTCTGCTAAGTTTCCAGGTGGTCCTGGTGAGCTGGCAGGGCTGGATGTCTGTGGAATGTCTGCGACATACTGGCACACTTGTGGGAACACCAGAGAGAGAAAGGGGCAAGACAAATGCAAGTGCGTCCAGAGGTGTTAAACTATCTCTATGGGGAACGGCTGTGTAGGCCATGTAAGGGATGAATAGCTGGTGAGAGGCAGCTAGTGAGGTAGGGTGCTATGTTTTTGTGTTCGTGAACACAAAGAGAGAGTTTGAGTAACTTTGTTGAGGGGGCCGTAAGCAGGGGTCAGCTGATGACCGGGCAATACATGTAGTCAAACTATTACTTAAAGCACTGATGGTTCATGGGTTTGGTCACTATGACGAAACTGACATAAAATAAGATGAACTCAAAAAAAAAGGAAAAAAAAGAAAAGGAAGATTTTTACCTATTTTTGTTTTTTTCCTAAGATATATGGCTAAGCAGGTGTCACTTGTGGGTGATGCTGCAATAGACTTCATAAACCTAGGGTTAGACTGTTAGCTAAACTAGCAGGGACCCACCAAATACCTAATCAAAAGAAAAAGAAACAGTGGGAATTGTTCCTAGTTCTATCTTGACCTACATTGTGTTGAACAGTAGCTGCCCTTCAATGTATTAGGTCTGGCCCTGAGGAGTGAGGAGAAAGTAGAGAGGAAACAGGGATTAGGCTACTAATAACCTGTATAACTCATTAAGGAAACAACAGTTGCTAGAACTACTGTAATCCTAAACAAAATGTGAAGATGGTGATGGTAAAATAACTAAAATTAAGGTAAAAGTAGAACAAAACAAACAAAAGGGGTCCTAATAGCTGTAGGAAATTAAAAAGGGAAAGTAAAATAAAATAAAAAAATATATATATAAATTTTTTTTTAATAAAATACAAAAAAAATTGATTTAATTAATTAAATCTCAAATTGAATCAAAATCAATTTATTTTTAAAATGCATCAACAGTCAATCATTATATACTGTTCAGATAAAGGATACGATGCTTGAATTTCAATGAAGCGTCCCGCGGTCCTTATCACACAGTCTCTCGATTAACACGCATCAACGAAGAGGAAAGATTCCCGGAGAGAAAAGTTGTCGATCAGAAAGTCAATTAAACTCTTTACCGTTCCTTTAAGATGAAACAGACTGACCCGCGTTATCACGCGCTGTTCATCTCACACACGCGCCCTCCGAGCGAGGTGGTGAGAAAGACCGGGAGAGAAGATTGGTGAAGCAGGCGAGCCGTCATGCAACCACGGCGATCTGCGAAGCGCTGATCTGGTGATCCGAAATAGTCACGGGCTCCACGTGTGACCGGTGTAATCTGCGTTGTGTTTTTTTCTCAGAGTAGTAACCAGACGGACATCAGTTGACGGTTCGACTCTTCATTTACTGATAAAACATAAAACAGTCTTTACAGTGTGTTTTCGCCCTTCTTGTCTTTTCTCTCCCATGCAGAGACAGTGCAGAAAGGGAAGAGAAAATGGTATAAAACTGGCATACAAAATTAATTTAAGGAGTGACAAAACAGCATACCTGATCAAACATGAAACAGTCTTTACAGTGTGTTTTCGCCCTTCTTGTCTTTTCTGTTAAATTAATGTAAAGTGCAACGCAATTAGCACGTGCTTCAAGTGCATTGATCGACAGAAAACTGATCAAACTTAGTGAAAATACAGAAATAATCAAATATACATAAAATAATGTCACAAATATGATTTACATCATATTTGTTATATGATACAGAGTATAAAAGTGCTTTTTAAAGCAAAGATGAAATTAGATTAATCAGAGCTCATTAGAAACCCACCTCTCCCATGCAGAGACAGTGCAGAAAGGGAAGAGGAGGTGCAAAGACAGGATATTAAGACTAACGCTGCTGTCAGAAATTTAAAGGGGAAGGTGCACACACCGACAGGCATATCAGGTATACATCGAGAACATTTGTGTAATTCTACATATGAAATTAACATTACTTTCCATACCTGTTACACTTGTATATTGTCTTTTGTATTGTATACTGTTTTATGCATGCTTATGATAGAACTATTCGTTCATGTAATCTTACCTGTATGTAATCTTACCATGTTTAGTATCTATGAATTTGTCTTCTGATGATCTAAATGAGAGTCTATAGTATATGTTGGTACATAGGCAATATATTACTGTTCTAAGAATCTTTATTAATTTTGCATCAACACCCAATCAAATTACATATGCAAAATACCATGCTCTAAGACAAAGAGTCGTAAACTTTCCCTCCAAAAGTGAAAGTCACCATTGGCTCTGTGACCTCCCGGAGGTGTGAGCTCAATAGGAGATAAAGCTCTCACATCAGTGACCCGCCTCTGTCAGTCTGCAGTTCTGTTAGGGTGCTTTCACACTAGCACTTTTGGTGCGCACCCGGGTTCGATTGACGTCAGAGTTCAGTTCGTTTGGATGATGTGAACGCTGTCTTCCGAACTCGGGTGCGCACCTGCGAACCGTACCCAAGTCCGCTTAAAAAGGGTGGTCTGGGTTACGTTTCATGTGAACTCCGGTATGGTTCCCTCCTAATGTGAACGCAATCGTACCAAATTGCGGAAGTGAACCGCTATTAATGATGTATTATTTGATAAAAATGTGTGTTTGTGTGTGTGTTTCACATACTTTCACTCACGCTGCACACTGTTCTTTAGAGCATTTGCAGTACATTCGTAAGACAGACGTAAGTGCCGTTATGTACTGAAGCTTTGTAAACAAAACGAACGGTTCAAAAACGTAAATATATAAAAGTGCAGAGAGCAATGTTATGCATCTGCCACCTTCTCCTGCACCGTCGTTACTAAGCAACGGGGGAAAACAGGTGCTGACTTGATGATGCAAACTAACTGTGGTTTGGACCCAAATAAAATAATATGAACGCAATCCAGCGGGGGCAGGGGGAGGGGGGAGCAATCGAACTCTGGTTCGGACCAGGCAAGCGAACCAAGTATGAATGCACCCTTAGATTCTGAGAAGATGAGGATGTGAGCTAGAAGGCTTCTGCAACCCTTAAGTCTGCACCAGGCTTCGGCCTTGTCTTTACATTCACCAACGATCCTTGGATCTCAGCCGATGTCTCTCTTAGCTCTTCATCACCTTCATCTGGGAGAAAACCGCAACCAACCACATCCAGTGTTGGGAAGTAATAGTAACTAGTAACTTAGTTACTGTAATAATATTACTTTTTACACTAACTAGTAGTGTAACTAATTACTAATAAGATTGCAGTAATAATATTACAGTTACCATCCAAAAAACAGCTTAGATATAGTTACTTTTGATGCCTCAACTCCGCTGATTTGAAATCCAACAATCAAATAATTCCTAGATTTATTTTTCATAATTTTCACGACTTGCACATGCATGTGATGTCCCCAGTGCCGCAGGCAAGCTTGGAATATGGAAAAGCGTACATTCAGCAGATAGAAATATTGCATTATATTGATTTTGTCAGGAAAACAGATGATCTGAACACTGTTGTGTAAGTTGTGGCTTTACTTTACTCTGGCATTACATCCCACCCACATCCCTCTGATAAGCATGTGGTACATTCTATTACTATAATTAAAAATCTTTTAGGAAAATTAAACGGTTTCTTACAAAGTTATGTGATTTGATCAAATACATAATGAAATATAATTGTATATGGGTAATGGAGAAATTACAATTAGCTTCAAGCTACACATGACAATTGATGAGATTAATACAACACTTCTACTTGAACGTCACTATCAGTCACTATTGAGTGTTTGTAATAACTTCTGACTGCGATCCAATGTGGATTTTGGTCAAATGATGAGGCAGAAATATGTTGTTAGTAACATTCTAGAAGAATTTTGACTACAAAATATCCTTTCCTAGAGTTGATATGAACTTACACTGAATGTTTGCTGGACGAACAGGTTAGTTGAGGGCAATTTAATTCTGCTACAGTTACTTCTGGCAGCTGATATAAATAATTGTAATTATCATAATTAGCTAATTATTTATATACATTTCCCTTTTGAGGTAATTTGCTACAGGATGCTATAAATACCTTGACTTGAATGAACCAAGTTGAAGATTTCTTACTATTAGAGAATGGAAGAATTGGAATGATTAACGCTTACTGTATCAACATAGCGTTAATCAAAAGCAGATGTATTTCATGCACACATTGATAAATCAATGTCTGCAGGAAATTCCTCTGCCTTTTCAGTTTTCTAACACTGAAAAAAGCACGCTTTTCACACCGGCCGTGCAAAGGGCTATGGCAAATTATGTAAAGTGAGCCTTAACCACTCCAACGCGATCTTAAGTAGAATAATATAAACATTAAATAATATCAAACGCCTACATTCACTAAATTATCCAGTCTCCGCTGTAGCTCCCATTACCTAAACTCCCAGAATGCATTGCCGCTGTGACGACACATTCTCTCTCTCTCTCTCTCTCTCTCTCTATTATATATATACATACATACAAATACATTATAAAAATACATATTTTACACACACACACACATATATATACTATATATATATGTAGTATATATTTCAGGGGAATTCCCACGGAGGAGGCAAGAGAGGCAGTGTCTCCTCAAAAATTGGATGTCAAAATAATCGATATTACAAACACAAATCGTCTCAGGTTACGTATGTAACCATGGTTCCCTGAGAAGGGAACGAGACACTGTGTCCTCTAGGGGTCACTATGGGGGAACGCCTTGGCGTGACCCTTGTCTGAAGCATACATTCAAAACTCCAACACATTGGCCGGCGACAGCCTATGACATCACTACCGGTGCGACCACAGTATAAAGGGGTGCCGGGAGAACACGTCATCCGAAGCATGGCAAGGAAACTAGAGGACGCAGTGTCTCGTTCCCTTCTCAGGGAACCATGGTTACATACGTAACCTGAGATGTTCCCTTTCGAGGGAACGAGACACTGCGTCCTCTAGGGGTCGCTATGGGGAATGGTATACCCACACCACCATGCTGAGGGGAGTGCATACCAAGCACAAAGGCGAGCACTAAGTACCAACTCTACCAAAGCTTAAGGGAGTTGCCCCTGGGATGGTTCGATGGCTGTCAGTGACATTATCCCCTTCGGGCCAAAGGCCTGAGCTACATACCCCAGAAACTTACCTGTTAGGGGCCGGGCCTCCTGGACACATGGTAGAGCTCAAAGGCT